CACTGAGCCCTGGGGAACACCACTTGTGACACCACTTGTGACTGGGCTCCAGCTGGGTTTAACTCCATTCCCCACCACTCTGTGGGCCCGGCCATCAGCCAGTTTCTAACCCAGCAGAGAGAGTGCCTGTCCAGGCCACTGGCAGCCAGTTTCTCCAGGAGAATGCTGTGGGAAATGGTGTCAGAGGCTTTTCTGCAGTCCAGGTACACCATGTCCACAGCCTTTCCCCCATCCACTAAGCGGGTCACCTTGTCACAGAAGGAGATCAGGTTAGTCAGGCAGGGCCTGCCTTTCATAAACCCATGTTGACTGGGCTTGATCCCCTTGTTGGCCTTTGTGTGCTGTGTGATAGCACTCAAGATGATCTGCTCCATCACCTTCCCCAGCACCGAGGTCAGACTGACAGGCCTGTAGTTCCCGGGATCCTCCCTCTGGCCCTTCTTGTAACTGGGCATCACATTTGCCACCCTCCAGTCAAGTGGAACCTCCCCAGTCATCCAGGACTGTTGGTAGATGATGGAAAGGGGTTTGGTGAGCACCTCTGTCAGCTCCCTCAGTATCCTCAGGTGGACGCCATCCGGCCCTGTAGACTTGTGAACATCTAATTGGCTGAGCAGGTCTCTAACTGTTACCTCCTGGATCACGGGAGCTTCATCCTGCTCCCCATCCCTGTCTTCTGGCTCAGGGGGCTGGGTGCAGGAGAGCACAGGGTTTGGAGGGTGACAAGGAGGAGCGAGGGGAACATAAATGGTGGATGGAGCTGGGTTGTGCTGGGTAGGCTGGAAGTGAGAGGCAGCTGGGGAGAATGGTTGTCAGGGAGGACAGAGAATGTCCAGCAGTAAAATGAGAGGCCAGTGAAAGCACGTGAGGAGAAGCAGATTGATGTGTCCTGGATGCCTGGAAACACTTGTTCTGGCCTTTGCTCACCAGAAACGTGTCTGGAAAAGAAACAGTGGAATTAAAATCTCACTCCTGTGTGTTCTGTGGTAAATCATAGAATCACAGAATGGTTTGGGTTGGAAGGGACCTTAAAGCTTATCCAGTTCCAACCCCCCTGCCATCAGCAGGGACACCTTCCACTAGACCAGGTTGCTCAAAGCCTCATCCAACCTGGCCTTGAACACTTCCAGGGAGGGGGCATCCACAACTTCCTTGGGCAACCTGTTCCAGTGTCTGACCACCCTCACAGTGAAGAACTTCTTCCTAAATCATGTGTTAGATAAGGGAATGGCCTGGTTCTTCAGGCCATTAGCAGCTCTACACGCAGAGCTGCCATTCTGCTTGCAGGTGAGAGGGATCCTAACGAGATTCAAGCTCCTCAGAGGTAATTGTGTTCTGTTCCCATGTACCTGGCTATTCCCACTTACATCTCACAGGTTTCACTGAGATTAGATGCCCAGATACTTTGAGTCAGATTCCTAAAATACATTTTGCAAGTGATAATCAAGAACGACATCCTTTTGCAGGAGGGGAGGGGAAACTGAGGCACAGTCAGCTCGCTGTGCTCATGTCACGTGTGAAGTCGGCAGTAGTGGTTTGCAGGCAATCCTCGCGTTCTGACTCTTGACCTTTAACAGCAGAGGGTGTGTTGGGAAGGAATTACTTTTTCTCTACAGAGCTGTAGGTCCTCTCGCTGCTTTGGAGACTGTCCCAGTCCTTCCCCAAACTGGTTATAATCTGAAGGGTTTTGTGCAGGCGTAGAGTTGTGCATTCATTGCATCAGAAATTCATGTTGGTGCTGTGACAGCATCCATGGAGCGAGAGCAGGGCAGGCGAAAGAGAGATGATTTACAGATGCAAAATGGAGCCTGCAGTGACCATTTCCTCAATCATCTGAGGTGTGTTCCTTTCTTTTACCTCTGTATTTCCCTGGGGCATGAGTGTAGATCTCTTGGGATTAAGCAATGGGTGTGGAATCCATGGCTCCAGAAAGCTTACCTCTTTTCCTGCTTTGTAATTCCTCCTGTATAAAAAACCTCACTCCTATCAAGGGAGGAGATGGTCGTTATTTAAAGCAGTGGTCCATCTCACTGTTAGAAAAACAAATAGACTCTGCAGGGCTCTACCAACCCAAGCTCAGTAGGCTTTGCTGTCATGCCAGTATTTTGTAGGGCTTCAACCTTAGCATTTATCATTCTAGCTACCAGCTGAAAAGGGCATCTGATAGCATAGCTCTGCACAGATAGCTTTTTGAGATACTTTTTGAGGTTTAGTTTGATGGTGGAGGAAGGGTTTTTTAACAGAGCTAAAGCAGAAGTTATTAAGATCCATATTTCCAATAAGTTGGTAGGGAGAAATGAATCCCAGAATTGCCTGGATTGGAAAAGACCTTCAAGATCATCGAGTCCAATCATGAACCCAACACTGACAAGTCCCCAACTAACCCATGTCCCTCAGCACTGTGTCTACACAACTCTTCAATCCCTCCAGGGATGCGGATGCCACCACTGCCCTGGGCAACCCCTTCCAACGCCTGAGAACCCTTTCAGCAAAGAAATTCTTCCTCACATCCCATCTCAACTGCCCTGGGCACAACTGGAGCCCATTTCCTCTTGTCCTGTCCCTTGGTCCTTGGTTGAACAGACCCACCCCCACCTCTCTCCACCCTCCTTTCAGCGACTTGGACAGAGCCAGAAGGTCTCCCCTCAGCCTCCTTTTCTCCAGGCTCAACACCCCCAGTTCCCTCAGCCGGGAACTCAGCACACTTGTGCTCCGGACCCTTCCCCAGCTCTGTTGCCCTTCTCTGGACACGCTCCAGCACCTCCATGTCCTTCTTGGAGTGAGGGGCCCAAAATTGAACCTATCACTCGAGGTGCAGCCTCACCAGTGCCCAGTACAGGGGGACAATCACTGCCCTGGTCCTACTGGGCACACGATTCCTCCTATGAAGGGGTTGTAAAAACAAACAGAAGCTGCACTGGTTACACGCTGGTTACAGTAAGAGTTTTGTGCACCTTTCCAGTATGTAGTGACCTGAAGTGGAGCTCTGAGCCTGACTTCTCATGGCCTGCACTCCTGCTGTCTTCCCTGGGCATTTTGGAGACCAAGCTCTTTTTGTCTTAGAGTTTTTCAGATCAGCAATAACATTCCTGGAGTCTTCCCAAGCAAGAGGCTTTCTGCTGGGTAGCCAGCAAAGAACTTTTTTGGCATCACCAGCCTTGGATGTAACGTACTTGTCCCTGGGATAGAAAATTTCAAACCTGTCTAGCATCTCTCCTATCTGTGAGAAGACTGGCTGGCAGGTGAGATGTGGGCACAGTCCAGTACACCTTACAAAAGCAGAATTTTAGTGGGCTTGAAAACAAACAAGCAAACAGAAAAACCACCCAAATACCACTTGCCCGATCGCAGGTCAGCTCAGCTGGAGTAAGGCTCTGCTGCCAGCTGCCTTCCCTCCCCTTAGACTGGGTTAACATATTGCACTTGTTCTCCTGAACAAAGCATTATTTTTCTTTCTCTCTGTGCCTTTTCCCAACCTCCACTGATGGTTCTTTTCTTAAAATAAATTTAATGTGTGTGACTGACCAGGATTTGCTTTAGAGAAGCCGATGTCGTTGACAGTGCCAGAACAAAAGGCAAATGGTCCTTTTACTGCGCAGGCTGCGATCATTGTGTTCCATGTGCAAAAGGTGCTTGAACTCCTACAAAACCGTGACCGTGCCTACTTAGGTGCTCATGAATTCTCTAACTGCGAGGCATTTTTGCCTCCTAACAGGCAAAGAAGAATTCAAATATGTGTGTGTGTGTTTCTTGTCAGTTTTATGGTGTTTCCTTTAAAGAGAGCAGCTGTAATCCAAGGGTGCAGAGGGCAATGAGGAAGAAACGCGTGTGACATTAATTGCTTCTAACAAAGATGGTGGTTTTTTTTCAATTTGTTTTTTCCAGAGATAAATGACAGCGAGGGTCACCCAAGCAGCAGCCACCAAACCTTGAAAGGAACCTCAAAATGGGCTACATCACTGGAGAACCTCCTCGAAGATCCAGAAGGAGTGAAACGATTTAGGGTTGCTCTATTAACTATGGATATTTATATCATAGAATCATAGAATGGTTTGGGTTGGAAGGGACCTTAAAGATCATCCAGTTCCAACCCCCCTGCCATCAGCAGGGACACCTTCCACTAGACCAGGTTGCTCAAAGCCTCATCCAACCTGGCCTTGAACATTTCCAGGGAGGGGGCATCCACAACTTCCTTGGGCAACCTGTTCCAGTGTCTGACCACCCTCACAGTGAAAAACTTCTTTCTAATATCTAATCTAAACCTCCCCTCTTTCAGCTTAAACCCATTTCCCCTTGTTTTGTCATTAACTGCCCTTATGAAAAGTCCTTAGGATTTAAAGCTGCATGTGTCTCAGCACAGAGGGTGCAGCTGTGCCAGTGCTGTAAGCACACAGGCGTGCGTCCTTCTCGATACGTACCCTGGGCAGAGGTGGCAGAGCTGGAGCTGTGGCATTTGCTGAGCTTCTGAGGTAGTGCCTTTTGCCTCCTGCCACTTGCTCTCCTGAGGCACATGGAGGACTTTTGGTTGCATCTTTCTAAGAGGATCTATCAGCTGTTGCAAGGATTAGCCAGTTACTGTTGGATAAATTACAGTCCCTGAGCCACTGATCCCGCTTGCCAGGCGTTATTTATCACTGAGGACTGATCCTGCGCTCTTTATTCTCATACGTTGTCTTTACTTGAGCAGTGAGTGACCACTAACAGCTCCCTGAGCCTGTGGTAATTCTGTGTGGCTCTTACTCTGAGTTGCAGCAGCTGTACTGAAAATCATTCCCTTTAAGTTGACTACAAAATGTGGGCTTATGCAGCTCAAAATGCCGGCTTGAGGCTTAATTGAGGGCGGCGAGTTGGTTTTCAAGGCCTTCTTGCTGTATCAGCTGTAGGAACAGGAGCTACCTACTTGAGAATGGGTTTGTCATACCAAGCACTGAGAAAATGCACAGGGATAAAATGATTTCTTGCCAGACTGGTTTGAAGATTGATGTAAACAAAACACTGTGATTTAGAATCCTTTAAAAAAAAAAAAAAGTAATCTTGATGCTATTTAATTATTACTGTTACTTAATCTCTATTTTCTAGCACTTGAAAGTGAAAACTGATGATCTCAGAGCTGTAAATATTTCAGTCGTTATTTTTTATAAAGAAATTTAATGTACATTCTTTTCCCCCCCATTTTAAAGCATGCCTCACTTCTGAAGGAATGTGCTTTGATACATCTTTTGCTTTAGTTTACTTAAGTGAATTTATTGCTACTGATGATCATGTTTAGAAACACTTATTTGTAGAGATTTTACTCATTAAAAAATCACAAAGATACTAGATGAGAATCTCAGGTGATCTGTGACTCATTAAAATAGTTCATTATACTCGCCTGCTAATGAATTCTTATATTTTTGGATTTCCCTTTGAGTGATGGCTGTAAAATTGCTCAAGTTATTTAAGGGAGACTGAAGAAACTCTTCTTGTTAGTTACTGATATGCTCTGAGATTAAATGTAGCTCATCATTCTCCTGGCATGTGCTTTTGAAGTGCTGAATATATGATTGCTCAGTTGTGTCTTGGTGGTGTGCAGATGCACTAACGCAGTGGCTCTGTTAACACCGGATTATGTCAGCACGTACCATGTTAAAGCCCTAGGTGGCTTCTAGTTTTTAATAGCTCTAGTAGGAAGAGTGAAAAACAATTGAGAAACTAGATCCTAATGTTGTTTATTTGTTGTTCTTTTCCCTAGGAATTTTTAAAGAAGGAATTTAGTGAAGAAAATGTTTTGTTCTGGCTAGCATGTGAAGAATTTAAGAAAACACAGGGGAAAAAACAGGTATGTTTCCTAAATAAATTGTACTTGTCAACAAGGTTTCAGTAGCAGAGCTGGAGCTCTAGTGTTTCTGTTGCATAACATGCTTCATGTGAATGCAAATAAATATGTTTCAAGGAATTGCACTGAAATCACAGTGGTGGAATTGTTTGGAAACAAAGCTGGTTCTATTTCAAAACAAAACAAAATGCTGAAATTGTCAAGTTTCCCATGTTTTGAAAACTCTGGACTTTTTTTTGTTTCTTGGGAATAGGAAAAGATTTAATTCAGTGATGTTGCATCATCCTGCTTGAAAATATAAAATATAAAGACGTTTCATTCAGGACTTTTTTTAAAGCATTACATGAAAATATACACCCTTTTAATATTTTAGTGGAACATAAAAATAACAAGTAGCATAAACAAAATGTTTTACAGTACCAAAATGAAAAGTTTTGCCTTTTCAAATTACAAGTTACAAAACAAAAGAAATTGAGGGTCCCTTTAGACATTTTGATGAAATATTTATTCAAATTTATATATTTCTATATTTATTTTCATTTTCATGCAAGCTGCATTTTTTCTAGTAGAAAATATTCTATTGGAAATTTTTCAACCAGATGTGTCCAGTAAGTTTTTTCCACTGCTTGGACCTTGGTCTATATTTAGATATACCAGAAGCACAGGTTCCCCTTTCACATGTAGGCTTTGAAGCGTACAGAGTCAGGCCTAAAGTCTGAACCATGTTTTGTTTGCTTCTTTATGAAAAAGTTTTTGTGACTTTATTTTTTTTTTGAGAAATTCCAAATTTATTTGATCTTTGAGATGAGGATTCTGTGAGCATGAAATGTAGTTTCAAAACTCCAACTGAACATCAGTGCCCTTGAGAATCAGGCTCCTAAATCCCACCAGCCCTTCTTTTGAAATCTTATCTTTATGCTTTTCACGTCTTGTTGCCAAAGGGAGCGTTTTAAGAAGGTAATGGATGCAAATGTACAGCCCTTTTTACCAAAGTAGATGGAATCCCATGAGCAGGTGAGGCTGGGAAAATACTACTTCAACCTGCTTCAAATGGGACCGTACATGCTTTGAGTCATGTCAGAAACATCAGGGAATAGGAACTGGGTGGGGCAGCTGGGCTGCTGGGGAGGTTGTAAGTGCAGGTGTAAGATGGCTGCCTAATTTCTTGCATCTGGACTGCAGGATTCCTCTCTTAGGGTCAGTCAAATCTAATCAGCTAAAACTGTTTTCCAGCAGAGTACTGGATTTTCAGCAAAACGTATTTTGAGAGAGGGGTCTACTTCCTGTAGATATTCTCTCTTTTGCACTGAAAAAGCAGTGTCAAAAATTTGCTCACCACAACGCAAACTCAGAGGCACTCATACCCTCAAAACAGTTTGCTTGTTTCAGTTGTGAATATGTTTTGGTATGGATAAATCCATCAAAAATACAAAAATAATAAATTTTTGCAAGAAAATTTATTGTTTAATTATTTAAATTTATTGTTTAATTATTTTAATTGTTTTATTGTTATTTATTGTAATTGAAAATTTATTGTTTAAGGCCAAGCTGGATGAGGCTTTGAGCAACCTGGTCTAGTGGAAGGTGTCCCTGCTGATGGCAGGGGGGTTGGAACTGGATGATCTTTAAGGTCCCTGCCAATCCAAACCATTCTGTGATTCTAAAAGGGAAATGTTCAATTTGACTGTGCAAAAGGAAAATGTTCAGTTTGACTGTGCACTTTGTAATATTTAGTGCTATTTCAGTTTTGTGTATTTAGCTGCTTCCCTCCTTCATTAAGGTCCACACATACAGATTGTCTTCCGAAAAGAACAACTAATTGAGCTATTTTTCTGTAAGATGTAAGGCAGAGAGAAAAAAAAATGAATGAGGTGGGGCAAAAGAGGGAACTGTGTGCTAGATGCCACTTTGATGGCAGCAGTATTGGTGGCTGAAGCGAGGCCGGGAGCCCTCCTCTCCCCTTGCCTGTGAGGGAACGTTCCAGCTGCAGCCTTTCTGGGTGGCACTGGAAGCCACCTCCTGTCTAGGCGAGCGTGGTCCCACTGACCTGGCTCTGCTTCCACACAACCTGCCATCTCATCATTGTCAGTCTGTGACAAAACATTTCCTCTCTTTTGAACCCCAGTGTCCATACAGTGTTTTGCCTGGAATGTTCGATATGTTGGGCTGGGGATCTAGGTATTCCTGATCTCTCTCCCTACTCCTTACTAAAATCATCTGCTGTCTGAGCTGGTGAAGCAGAAGCCAGCCTCACAGTCCGTGACCAAATGGGAAGAACCCTTTGCTTTGTACAGAGCAGGTATTTTGTACATCACACAGTGTCCTTGCTGAGAGGTGATGCCCCTTGGACAGGTATCAAAACTGCATTTTAAAATGGAAATGAAAGTGGAAAATCCTTCTGTAAGGTTCCGCTTTTGCAATGGGATAATAATTGTATTTTCCCTTGCTACATAATTTCCATCTTTTCAGCTATTTTAGGATTGCTCCTGCTAGTACAGGAAATGGGAAATTGATGTATAGAGATAGTTAATTCATGAATTCTTGAATGGATTGCCAAATGAATGGACAGAGACTTAACGAGGTTCCATTTAGCTTAATTATTCAGTACCAATCATTACACAGTATGGTCAATCTGGAGGCTGGTACTGCCAAAGCTGTTACAGCCGGCTCGAATAAATGGGCTTTACAATGACAGACTTACAGTAAATTTTTATAGCCACTGCTTATGGATTCCTTTGTTTAGGTAATTTATAAAGCTAGAAAAAACACTAAAAATAGAAATCTTTCCAGTGTTCATGATAGTGTGAAGCATGGATTTGTCTTCTGAAAATGACTCTTGCAGAAATCACTTTGTATCTATCTTTTGTGAGCAAAGTATTCTAAAAACAACTTTTTACTTAGTTTATAACCTGCTTCTCATTAAAATTGGTTTACCACAGAATCTGGCTCGTAGACACTTAGACTTTTGGTCTGATGAAGCTGCTCTCAATTTAACCCAGATTGAATGGGATTTTTTTCCCCTATTTTTAAAGTATAAGATAAGCTTTTTATTACTTGACATGAGAGTGTTAGTGTGAGGTTTTTCTTGGTCAGTTTAAACTTGCACAAAGGTCATCACCTGGTCAGTGGATTAAGTATCCATTGTGGCTGATGTTGTTGTCATCCCTTCAGTGTCAGCCTGGAGCTGTGTTTGGTTTTTGAAGGGGGGTTGGAACTGGATGATCTTTAAGGTCCCTTCCAACCCAAACCATTCTGTGATTCTATGGTTGTATAGCCTGCTATACAGTTTGGGTGGTTGGCTTGGTAAATGTGCTGTCCTTCCCTCGTGTCCTTTCTGATCTTCACAGGTAGATGCAGGCTCACTCTGCTTCTGCTTTCTATTGGTTGCAAACTGTCAAATGTGTTAGTGCCATTTTAAGAAAATATCCTTGGCCTTTCCTCAGTGCTTATTAAATTTGTTTCTGTCATTACTCTGAACACAGTCACATGGGCTCTGCCTAGAAGCTGACTTATATCAAGGCAACACAGGCAGATCTTGCCAGATGCTGTGCAGATACAACTTCTCTGTCCCCTTCCTCTGAAGTGGGAACTGCGAGGCAGCCAGGATTGCTAGATGGTGAGACCAGAGGGAATGCTGGAAAGGAGGAGCCAGGCTCTTGACTGTTGTGTTGGCTCTAGACTAGTGGTGGGAGCACTTAGTCAGGAGAAGGCAGAAATGAAGTTCAGACCAGACTGCTCCACAAGTTTGTGTTTGTTTTCCTGTTTGGGTCAACTAATACAAAATGCATTCATGTTTCAAGGGAGCAGGGGAGATTTTCAGCATCTGCAGAGCTAGACAGCAAGCAGACTACGTTACTGGTCTAGGCAGGTTTTAGATGGACTGGATTCAGCCTGTCTTCTTGCAGCATGGAAGCACAAACTCCTCCCCTGAGCTCAAGACACATCTCTGTTTAAAAAAAAAAAGATATTCTTTCTTTATCGTTCCTTTAAAATTGAAGTTAAAATAGAAATGTAATTTTTAGCAGAGATTGAGGAGGGAATTAGGTCAAATCCACTTGTAGCAGTGAGCTCTGCTGCCACCCATATGGTCCTCATCTTGGGACACATTTAATTATTGAAATGGGAGTGGTGGGGATAAGTGAATACAATTTAAGTTTAAATAATTTTATTGGAGCTAGTCATATACTGTTGTATTTGTGACTGTTAATGAAATAAACAACGTGTCCATTGTGCTACTTCCCAAAGTTTAAATATTTCTTCTCTTGCAGCTGAGCTTTAAAAATAAATTACAGCTTGTCATAAATGCTTCAAACAACAGGGAATCTTTTCAGCTATTGCTAAAACCCACCAAAATACCCATGTGGAGAAGTTTTGTAGAGAACAATTTCAGAACAAAGTGTACCTATTCAAGGGTTTCTTCTGCCACTTCCCACGTGCAGTGTGGCAATGGTTAAAGAACTGCACAGCTTGCTAACTGCTGGAGCCTGTTCTGATGAGCATCTGGGACTTCCATTCACCTCATTTGGGAACCACACATGCTTGAGAGCTGCATTTGACCTTAGGAAAGGAAGTGGGAAAAATCCACTTGAAATAGTGAGGGGGATTTCTGTAGACAGAACTTCATATTCCAAATAGGAATTTGGCACGGATGCTGGGTTGAGCACACAGATGTAAGTGAAAAGTGCCAGAAATCCTTTAATAACCACCTGTGAACAAGATCCCAGTTTAAGTGTTGTTTAAATTCCAGAGCAGAGTCCCCTGTGCTGAGGCATTAGTTTCAGGCTGACACAGAACAAAGAATGCCACCCACTGAATGGGGAACATCGCTGTCTCCTCCGCTTGAACGTGGCTCTCCCTGAATTTTATTTGGAGGATGTATAAACATACTGGCAGCTTTAATTGTACTTTCTTTTTAAAAAAATATAAAAGTGTAGTTAAACTGATGCTCTACTACTGAAGCATGGACATAGCATAACAGTTGTTCTATGTGCAGCAGAACCTGTTGGGTTCAGCTGTGCATTTCCATATTTCCTCATTACTATAAAGTTAGGTTGCCTGTGTCTCTCCAATGACCACCACAGTGCTTTCACTTCCTTTCTTTGTCATTCTTCCCCACAAAATCCAGAGATCCTCCCAATTTCACCAGCCTCCCACACAATCCTCTTGTTGCTCCCATGTTCTTTAAACTTCCTCACCATACTTCTCGTTTCCTGTTTCCCCTCAAGCCTTGCTCTGCCTTTTCTCCGCAGTGCCCAGCTTGTTCCTGTGTTCCTTGGGCGAGCAGCACCTTGTGTTGTGGCTGATGTGGAGCTGTGTGTGCACTGATTAGCCAGCTCTTAAGTACATGCTGGCAGTTCAAGTAGATAACTTTTGAGCACATACTGCAGCTTTTCCATCAGGGCACGTGCTGCTTTTTCTCTCCCTTTCCTTTCTCTCACCACGCTTTCCCATTACATCAGTGGGAGGGTAATTATTTCTCAGTCCTTTGCCCCTTTTTTAAATATGGTTGAAATTGGACATCAAGTTTAAAAGTTATTTAGGTAGGACTGACAGACAGCATAATCACTTCTGCTTCCTCATGCAGTAATACCTAAAGGTGCCTTTACTCTGTCTGCTTTAGAGTATTAACTTGACCAGTTAAAGCACTCGCACCTTTGATCAACTGGATTAATTGGATGTTTAGAACAGACATGGCTGACCAAGTCCTCCCTGATCTGTAAAACTGAAAAGATCAGAAATTCATAGAATCATAGAATGGTTTGGATTGGCAGGGACCTTAAAGATCATCCAGTTCCAACCCCCCTGCCATCAGCAGGGACACCTTCCACTAGACCAGGTTGCTCAAAGCCTCATCCAGCCTGGCCTTAAACACTTCCAGGGAGGGGGCATCAACAACTTCCTTGGGCAACCTGCAAATTGTTATAAAACACTTCGTTGTGACCTAGCACACCTGACACACGATGTGCTACCCAGCAGATGAATACTCTGTATTAAAAAGGAATACTCCTGGAAAACGTGTGTCCCCTTCAGCAGTGACAGAGTTAATTCTTTAGGCCTTGTGAATTGTCAAACACATGTAGCTTTTCTCCTAATTATCCCCAAATGTTGATTCTCAGCTGTTAAAACATGAAAGAAATTCTCTGATTCCTTCATGGGCAAGATTTTAAATGCTTCCTTCTTCAAGCCCACTCCTCATCAAAGAGGCAGCCCTTTAATTGGTGCTGGCCTGGAGACGCAGTTACTCATTAGATGCCCAATGTGGAACACGGATGAGTACCTGTGGCTGGTGGTCGTACAGTGCCTGCTGCTGGACAGGCCTTGTTTCCAGTGTGCAGAGTTCAGATTGCAGCAGGGAAGCTTGGAGCTCTTCTACCCCACTGCCTTTTTCTTTACTTTCTGGTCAAGGGGGAGTTTACAGAATCACAGAATGTCAGGGATTGGAAGGGACCTTGAAAGATCATCCAGTCCAATCCCCCTGACAGAGCAGGAACCTAAATGAGATCACACAGGAAGGCATCCAGGCGGGTTTTGAATGTCTCCAGAGAAGGAGACTCCACAACCTCCCTGGGCAGCCTGTCCCAGGGCTCTGTCACCCTCACTGTAAAGAAGTTCCTTCTGAAATTTAAGCAGAACCTCCTGTGTTCCAGCTCACACCCATTGCCCCTTGTCCTATCATTGGGCATCACTGAGAAGAGCCTGGCTCCATCCTTGTGACACTCACCCTTTATATATTTATAAACATTAATGAGGTCACCCCTCAGTCTCCTCTTCTCCAAGCTAAAGAGCCCCAGCTCCCTCAGCCTTTCCTCATAAGGGAGATGCTCCTCTCCCTTAATCATCTTCGTGGCTCTTACATTGAATTTCAGAGGATTGTGGCCACTTGTTTACTGCTTTGAAGCTTAAAGATGCTTGGTAGGGTCAAAATGTTATCACTGTTACTGATTTATCAAGAGCAGACCACTGAAAGAGGGAGGATTGCTGAAATCAGAGCAAACACTAACAAGCTGCTTTATGCAAGTCACACCTACCCTTATTTATCAGCTTTCAGAGGCTCCTGAAAGTCTTGTCTTTTACCTTTAGCCAAAAAAATAGTTGTTGGGTTTTTTTTTTTTAATCATGTAGCCAGTGTTACACATGAGCTGCCCTGAGGTAAAAACGTAGTTATGCCAAGGTTATCTCTCAGTAGCATGGATTATACACTAACTTTGCTTAGTTTTGCCTTGCATTCAGTTTCCACAGTGGTTTTTACCTCTCGGTACCTTGCACATGCTGATTGTCTGTTGGCAACAATAGTCTTCTAAATAGCAAAGCCCAGGCCTAGAGAATGCTGCTGAGCAGTTTGACACTGGGCTCTCAGACTCAAACATCACAACCTGCAGTTTAACCAAAGTGCAGAATACTGGGAGCTTCTGCTAATGTCAGTGCAGGAGTTGGCCTGCAGAGATGTTTTTCCTCTGGTACAAATAAGATAATCTATGTATATTTGTTTTGTTACTTGTTTTCTTTTTTTAATTCAGACTATGCTTTGGTTTTAAGATGGGAACCTCAAGATGTAAATGACCCAGAGCAATCTCCAATAAAACATTAACAAATGCAGAGAATATTCCCATAGCAAATAATTCTTCAAATAAATATGTCTTTCTGCAGATGCAAGAAAAAGCTAAAGACATTTACATGACTTTCCTGTCCAGTAAAGCTTCCTCCCAAGTCAATGTTGAAGGGCAGTCCCGCTTGAATGAGACCATTTTGGAAACACCTCATCCTCTCATGTTTCAGAAGCTCCAGGACCAGGTAAAGTTAATTTCTTCAAGAACAGAAATTTCTTTAGTTTTTGTCTGCCTTCTAAGCACAAGCTAGCACAGAAACGTTGGGAATCTGCCTACTGCTACGTGTGGCACAGACTGAGTAGGTATGCACGGAGTGGAGTTCCTTCCATATTAATGGTGGTGATATTAATGCAGCTGCTCTGAGGATGGATGCACCGTGCCCCATCTAACCAGGGCTAATTAGTTAAGAGACTCAGCACACCCATGCTAATTCCAGTTCAGGACTTTCCTGGAACATTGGATGAAGTTTTCTCCTGAGTTCCCCTTCTGGTAGCTTGAGAATCACCCAGATGACTAACTCTGTGCCTACATTTTCCTGTGTATGCAGTTGCGCTGAGTCATTGCTGATGTTTGTTTCCATAGTTGCCAGTGGTTTCTTTGACAGCTCAAGATTCTTTACTTTGTTTTGTTTTGGTATTTATATTGATATGAATATAATGCAATTTCCTGAAAAGCCTCCTCTTCTGTAACACACAAAACTTAAAAGAGGAGTTGGTATCTGCTTTGGCTTTTCCTAGAGATCTTGGGAGGTCTGGTAGAAAGCAGGTGACATTTTGCAGGCATGTCTTTTGGTGGTAAATTTTCTTGATATTTAGCTTATTTTAAAGCATAAGTTATGAAGTGAGTCATTCTTATCTGCAGCTCTCCAGCACTTGCGGTCTGTACTATTTTTAATTTCTGTACCATCCTCAGGACTACCTGTATTTTCCATTTGGCTCTTTTCTTCTGTGGAAAAACAGCACACTGATTTAAATAGTGTTTTCAACCTATTTCACATCACGTACTGAATATGTTAGTTGGGCACTGGCTGGGTCAGTGCAAGTGGTCTGAGAAGCAAAGGCCCTGCTGTCTTCCGAGCAGCTTCAAAGTCATTAGCACTGGAAATGTCTGAAACCCAATTTCCATGTGAAGAAGCAAAGTTTTTCATGGAAGAACATCTGACTTGGGGGAAGGGAAAGAAAATGTTGCAGTAACTCTAAGCACTGCAGTTGAGGGTGGGTGATTACGAGCCTGAAGCTGGAGAGACTACTGGAGTTAAATTGTTTTTCAGTTTTACAAATAAGCCTGTTGATGAACAGCCAGGGTTTGGTAATACCTGAACTGGAAACATGCTAGACCTGTGGTAGAGGAATCCCACTAGTGGGAAGAAAGTCTGTGGACTTTTAAAACCAAATGCAGATCATTTGTGGGTTGTTGCAGGTTTCCAATGCTTGAAGCTTCTGTTTATTGCTGTTAGATAATAGTTCAGGAAGAGTTATGATCTTCTCTAGTTTTCAATCCTTATAAAGTTATAAAGAGTGGTATAACATGTTCTCCAAGGAACAGCGTTAACTGCTGCTGGCACTGTGTGTCTGGAGTGTAAAAGGGCAGAGCTTGAAAGCTGCAGTTTGGTCTACAGCATTACTGGTAACTAGCACCTCATTTCTCCAGAGACCTACTGATTTAAATGGGGCTGCTTGTGGGGTGGGTCTCTGTGCTCTTCTGGGGGCCTTAAACAAACAGCTTGGAGGCAGGTCACACTGGATTAAGTGGTGTTAGAATGGAGCAAATTTAAAAATACTTACAAGGTAAATGTTCCTGCTCCACAGAGAGGCAATAAGAGGAAGGGAGGGGAAAAGAGAATTCTGCTTCTGCACGTGATTATAAACTTTATCTGGTCTGTGCATTTGGCTGACCAGACTCTAGATGATACTGATCTTACAGTGCTCTTGCTCTCTGAGAGGTGCTTTAAATGATGCCAGAAGCAAGAGAAACAAGTTCTTAACACTGACTTACGGACATTTTAACAGGCAGTGTCTTCCTTACAGTTTTTTTTTCCCTTGAGCTAGTTGAATAAATTTAATTATATTGTAGATAGCCAACTGCAGGAGGTGTAATTTGACTTTGCTTAACGGCATTGATTTGGGTCTACATCGTGAGGATGTTTTGGGATTTTTAGTCTTCCAATATGTAGTTTACAAAGCAAGATTTGCACCGTTTTAAACACAAACTTAAATATTTAAATACGTAAATAGTAAAATGCTTCATGTCATTTGTTTGCAAGGAGGACATTTCAGCAAACACACAGACAAGAACAGCCAAGTTTTTTGTGTTTGCCTTTGTCCAGGTTCTTTGAGGATGTGAGATGAAAAAGCAGTTTGAGATTTGTTATTTTTTTTCCTTCTAACAAACAGTTGTATTACTGGGTTGTACTATGAGTTAGAAATGAGGGCCCATAAAGGTAAAGCTCCAGTTATCCACACAGGGATTATCCACACATGCAGGTCAGAATCCCCAAATTCCTCTGGGAAATTTCGTTACTCTGGGTACCATAAAATGTAATCGGTCATGAAGCGTGACTCAGAGAGGCTCTGCCAGTGAAATAATAGGCCCAGGGTGATGTAGGCTTTGGTTTTGCCTCAACTGTAGTTTTGAGGTTTACTTTTTTCCTTCTCCTCTGTTTCAAGATCAAGCAAAATATATTCCTGACCTCGACACCTGAACAGTTTCCAGGCTCCTCTCCCAAGCCCGTTTATTTTCAGAAAAAACCAAATGACTTCTAGGGGTTTTTTTTTGTCTGAAATGGGTATAAATAGAAGAGAAAGCAGCTGTGCTGAGGGATGAGCCTAAACTCCAGCCCTGGGAGAGAAAAGCTGTAGTCAATGCCGACCTCGTGCTGGCTGTGGGAGTAAGGGCAGGTCTTGGGCTAGTGAAAAGCCTCATGGCACAAGTTTAATCCAGCATCCATTTTAAACCACACTTTAACTGGCAAATTACATCTGTACCAGATCAGCTTTTCGTGGCAGGTACCTGCAGTGGTTCTGGTCTGGCCTGAGTCCAGTCCTGGCATTTGGTTGTGTAGTGATCTTAAAAGGACAGGAGGATTGGTGTAAGTTTAAGAAACATTGGTTAAACCAGTTGTTTCAGTCTAGGTTCAGTCTGCAGTTTCAGTTTTTGTGTAAATTATTTAGAGGCTTTTCCTAATTATCCAGAGCTCTGCGTGGATAATGAGCTATTCTGTAATGTTCCAGAGTAGCTGCAGTCAGAAAGGTGCCTAAAAGGTGCCTCTTTTCCTTCAGCTCTGCTTTGTCCCTCTGAAGATCGTCCTACTCCCCTGCCAGAAGGACACCCTCGCTAGGTTTTACTCCTGGTGACTCTGCAGAGCTCAGGCTGCTGTCGAGGGGACCAGGTAATCATAGAATCATAGAATCATAGAATGGTTTGGGTTGGAAGGGACCTTAAAGCTCATCCAGTTCCAACCCCCCTGCCATCAGCAGGGACACCTTCCACTAGACCAGGTTGCTCAAAGCCTCATCCAGCCTGGCCTTCAACACTTCCAGGGAGGGGGCATCTACAACTTCCTTGGGCAACCTGTTCCAGTGTCTGACCACCCTCACAGTGAAGAAAAGAATGTCCTGGCTTGTCCTCATGTGCAGTTATCTGATCATCAGCTGTGAAATCCTGTCAGTGACCACAGCATGCAACCTCCCACTTTTCAGTATTAGGTTTTCAAAGTTGGCTATTGTGAAAACCATCTTCTGATTCTTAAACTAATATGGACATTATCTCACACCAGTGACCGTGGAACCTACAAGATGGTTTGCTACATACAACCCCTTTTGAGAGTTTGAAGTGTATTTTAGTGTCATGCTTGTTAGTGATGCTTTAATACTAACAGAACAGAGATACATTAGAATTCATATACTGTCCTTCTCGTTTAAAATCTAGTTTTACTTAGGTCATTGTTTTTGTTTTTGTTTTTTTCCCTTTCTTACCAGATATTCAATCTCATGAAATATGACAGCTACAGCCGCTTCTTAAAGTCAGACATATTCCTAAACCATAAGAAGTCCGAGGAGCAAGAGGAGAATTCACCAGAGGCTCAGACTGCAGCTAAAAGAGCATCGAGAATTTACAACACATGATGCAATGAATCTCCTTCAGGAGAGGCAATACCATAACTAAATTACACTCAGGAACAGTCGAGGATAATAGCAGTTGCATTTAGGGCTTGAAAAGCTCAAAACCTTTTTAGGAGATACTTACTTTCTTAATTGCTTGACCGACTAATTGTTTTTGCATGATAGCTAATAACCAAGCACCCATGGAAAGGCTGTTTCCTAGCTGAAAGGCTGAGGTGTTCCTCCGTAGCGTGAATTGCATTTCATATTTCACAAGTTAAAATGCTTTTGATTTCTGTGTTTTCCTTTGTGAGGCATCATGATGATGAGAAATGGGAGGCAGCGTGGTGATTTGTTTTATTTTTGCCTTGTAATTTTTATTTGTGAGCAGCTTTTCCATCGTGAACTGCTGGGAGAAGCTGTTGAGGAGTACATTTCACATTGCTTGCTGGATGAGTCATTCACAGCAAACTTAATCACGAAGGGACAGCATCTTCCAGGGTTACGCTCAAGAGAATCCAATCCCTTCCTGTGTAACTTTGTTCTTTCAAGGTGACACCTGTTTTGCTTTGCTTTTATTGTTGAATCAAAACACTTCTCTAGTCAGGATTTTAATTTCTGTATTTCTTAAATTCCCCCCCCCCCTTTTTCTTTGCAGTAGACAATCACATTCTTCAGAGGACGAGATGATATGTATTCCTTTGGGAGCAAAAAGCTCTAAGATAGAGAGAATCTCTGAAGAACTTCTAACAGCCATTAGGAAACCTGACAGTTAATATTCCACTCTGGGCACACTGATTTCAGCAAAACTTGTCTGGGGCATGTCCTGCATGTCAGCGTAACATCAGTGTCAGATGCCTCTCGGGAAGCATCTGGTCTCTCCTAGGTCTCCTGAGCAATCCAGCTCTGTGTGGCAAGAATATTTTGGCAAAGGACCAACCAACAAAGTCTGGCTTTGTTTTACTAAAATCTTTCTACTAAAATTACTCTGCCTAATTTTGTTTGCTCCAGAGAAATATTTCGGGGTTTCCTGATCGTATCTTTCAGTAGCTGCAGTGGAACAGGGGGTTGACATTGTGGTTTAGCCATTCTCACATCAAGCTGGAGAGGAAGGGAAATTCATTTCTGCTCAGAGGAATCAACAATGAAATGTCAGAGTGGTAAAGGAAGATGCTCCCAATGAGCTTTCCATGCTGTCCTGGGACTGTGTCAGAGCGGAACAGCTCATTTTGGCATACAATTCTTCATGCTTTCGTGTATTTTTAAATGATTTCACTGCAGTGTTCCGAAATTGCAGTTTAAGTTGGGAAAGCATATTAGCTACACGCTCTATTTACAAGCTTTGCAGTGTGCAGTCGAGCTGTTTCACATCCTCTCATTATTTACTCTCCCATTTTTTGCACTGCTTTTCTTCTTGAACTTTTGTTTATGTGCTGGCTCATCTCAATGCACACTTAACTCATGATGGTTTTATAGTTCTTTCTTGTCGGAAAGGCCAGTTGTGTTTTATACATTACTGTTGCTATCAGCATTTTAAAACTTAAGTCTAGATTGGAATTTTTTGAGGATGCAGACTCACTCGGTAGACTTGATTAGTTATTTTAGCTCTGAGCCACTCTTGCAGGTAATGTGTAAAGGAAATTGTCTCCGTGGGCTCCTCCCTCGTTAGATGTGACGGTGGGAACGGGAGCGCTGATCCTTCCCCCAGAGCTAAGTGGCCTGTTCATGTTTAGAAAATCAAAGAGGAGGTCAGTGCCTTTGCATGTGTGTTTTAAGAACTAATTTTCATGCACTGAGTTCATTTTCCTTTTATGCTTTCAAAAGATTTAATGGTGAGTTCATAATCTTGCTTTAGGCTCTTTCAGTGGTATTTGACCTGATGCTTAAGTTGTATTTCCACGTTTTGCTGGATAGGAAGGAAGTGAGCACGTGTGTGAATCCTTTTGCTGTGACAGGGCCTAGGAAACGGGACCACCCAGTTCTGGACTTGCCAACTGTCTGTAATCTCAGCATTACCTCTTGAAAATTCCCTGTAATAGTGAACTTTTAATGCCTGCCACAGCAGAGGATGGAACTTCTGATACCACCGAGGTCCTTGGGAGTGGGCTGCTTAAATTTAGGAGTTGGGATTTGTCTCTTCCCAGTAATTGCAGCAGAGGCCTTAGTGATACAGAACAATGCAGGATGGGGACCTTCATGGGAAAAATGCCAAATGAGCTCTTACCACATTCATCACATGGATGCACAGTAGATTCATTTTTAATCATATTGATTTTAAAAATGCATGAGTGAGGGAGAAGAGTCTTTGACTATCATGTTTTAAAATAATAATAATAATAGTAATAAATAAAACCAGGAGCTGTATGGACAATGGCAGGGCATTAAAGAGAGAAAATACTCATTTGTAGCTGCTTATAATCAACGTTTTCCTTGGCACTATGCTCCCTGGCAGGTACTGTATTATTTCCTTGTTAAGAGCAAATGCCCCACAGGAGTAGACACAATGGTGCTTTACACCACTGTGAACCAAAAGTTACTCACATGGAAATGTATTTTTTATCAGCACTTCGATGCCTGTGTTGTTTATTTCAATACTTAACGATGTTTCGAAGATAATGTACCTAAATCCACAAAATTCTTTGTCTTTGATTTGCTCTTTTGCCTCAACAGTAAAAAGTTCACTGCCCCATTGGCTGCCTTATTTGTGGTGTCTGGTTTTAGTTTGGTTTTTTTAGAAGAAAATCTAGAACTAGATTTTTAGAACTAGACTTGCAAGGTGCAGAAATCAAAGTTTTATTTCTGTTCACTAGATCATCTGTATTTTCCAGTAAAAGAGCAATCAAAGCAAAACCGCGCGAGCAGATGTTTGTAACTGCAGCACGTGTACATGCGGAGAAGGTTATTTTGCTTCTGTGGATATTATCACTGATCAGACTTACTTTGTGAAATACATGACATTTTCTCTATGTGGCATAGGACAAATTGCACGGACAGAAAACCAGCTGAGTTTCCCTCTGAGTAAGTCCTGCATTCCAGGAACAACTGGAAGCACCGCATGGAACCTCAGGCTGTAAGTGGGTACTCAGAGTTGCTTTACGTAGAGATTAAAGATGGGATCTACTCCTTTTCATAGAACCTACGCTGAAGGTATGAGCACAAACAGCAAGCAAGAGAAGTTTCATGCCTGACTGCATGCCTTAGACTCTACCCTATTGTGTGTTTCTCAGCTAAAAATTAAAATATTCTACAAATACACCAAATCTGTGTGCTGACACTTGTTTTGTGTTTTGAACACAGGTTGGGCCAGGATCACTTCATATCCCATAGTTACCCCATTTTCTGCTTTCATAGAATGGTTTGGGTTGGAAGGGACCTTAAAGATCATCCAGTTCCAACCCCCCTGCCATCAGCAGGGACACCTTCCACTAGACCAGGTTGCTCAAAGCCTCACCCAGCCTGGCCTTCAACACTTCCAGGGAGGAGCAGCCACAGCTTCTCTGGCCAACCTGTTCCAGTGTCTGACCACCCTCATAGGAAAGAACTTCTTCCTGATGTCTAATCTAAACCTCCCCTCTTCCAGTTCAAAGCCATTCCCCCTTGTTCTCTCACTCCCTGCCCTTGGCCAAAGTCCCTCCCCACCTTCCTGGAGCCCCTTCAGGTACTGGGAGGCCGCTAGAAGGTCTCCCCGGAGCCTTCTCTTCTCCAGGCTGAACAGCCCCAACTCTCTCAGCCTGTCCTCACAGCAGAGCTGCTCCAGCCCTCGCATCATCCTGGTGGCCTCCTCTGCACTTGTTCTAACTGGTCCATGTCTTTCTTGTGTTGGGGGCCCCAGAACTGGACACAGCACTGCAGGTGGGGTCTCACCAGAGTGGAGCAGAGGGGGGAATCCCCTTCCTTGACCTGCCACACTGCTCTTGATGCCGCCCAGGGTATGGTTTGCAGTCAGTCCCTGTTAACACAGCTGCTGACATTCTCTCAGGGGTTTTCTCTTGGAAGACAGGAAGATGGGGTGACAGTGGGTTTCACTTCCGAGTGAGCCATTGTCTCAGCACATTGCAGAAAGCCACTTGAAGAGGAGAAGATGCTTCTTGTACCTTCATCTCCTCCCATTTCTTTGTTCCCATTGCATTTCATCCATCGCACCTGCTTCAACTTAACCCAATGACGTGGAGAAGGAGGGTCTGAAAAAACATAGGGAGGGAGAGAAAAAGGGTTGAACGTTCAGATTTGGGTAACAGTTGCGAATTGCTTTGCTATGATAAAGTGCAAGATGCTTTTCATCAGTGCTACTGCTCATACCTCGGCTGAGGAGAGTGGCAAATCCATTTCAGTCAGGAGTTAAAAAGCCCCCGATACTAAAGGGCTTGGGGCTGGTGGGGGAAGAAACAGGGAAAGGAGTGTTACAGAATGTGGTTGCTCTCGGGATAAATGACATGATAGCCAAATTTAACAGCACCCTCTCCTGGTTCTTCACAGAATAACGTGGGGATATCGAGCTCAGTGAGGCTGCAAAGACAAGGAGGTCACAGCTACTTGTTCCCTCAAACGTGATGGATGTTCTGTAGGCCATAAATACAGCACTAAGTTAAAATACTGCACTAAAATATGAAACTGGCTCTGGTTTTCATTAAAGGCAGTTGGTGTTGCTTTGATCAAAACTTACTGGAAAGTTGAGAGGATCACCTTCCTGTGTGATCTCATTGAGGTTCCTGCTCCAGCAGGGGGATTGGACTGGATGATCTTTCGAGGTCCCTTCCAATCCCCAACATTCTGTGATTCTGTGTATAAGAAAACTGATTTAAATGGCTTTGAAAGCTGGCGTTATAGAGCAGATGAGGCTCTCAACTTCCTGAGCAGACTTGATGCTACAAAGCAACTTCAGAAAAGGGCCAGCAGTTGCCCAGCCCGCCACCACAGTTCCTGCCTTGGGCTGTGCTCGTTTGAATCGCTCAAAGACAGGACATGTCTGAAGGGAAATGGTGACCAGCACGCTGAGACCTGTGGCCCAGGCAGGGGCACGGAGCCTGTCACAGGCTTCTTCCTACTGCACTGTTCTGCTGCTTTAGCATTTCCAGAGGTAGCCAACCTAAAAGTCAAAAACCTTGCCTGTCTGCAGGTCCCAGGTCACTCTTTGGCCTTGTAAAGCTTGTGGCACTTTACACACAAATGTGCAAACCAAAAAAACCCCCAAAAAACAGTTGGGTGAGAGAAGCAGGACAGCATGGGTAGGGACGGGGATCGGGGAGCGTTCCCCACCACTTCATGTCTCAGGCAAACACTGAAATTGCCGTCAAGGGGATGTCTGACACTTGGTGAGAATTCATAGAATCACAGAATGGTTTGGGTTGGAAGGGACCTTAAAGATCATCCAGTTCCAACCCC